TCTCTAGGTCTATCCATTTCATTGTAAATTTGTCAGTCATTTTTAATATAACCCTGAAACTCATATCAGTGAGAAGAGATGCAACTTTTGCTAATAAAGCTGTGGTTTCCTTTTGGAAATGAGAACTTGGTGCAAAGTTATTTCCTATGCTGATAACAACCAAGGCAGAGTGCCAAACACAAGAAGCTCCCCTCCTGATGAGTGGCAGCAATGAAAGAACAGACACTTTCTTTCATTCCCCAGACAGTTTTACTGTCTCCTGGGTACGTGCATGTTTTAACACCTTGCCACTCAGTAACATTTCTTGTCTGACAGGTTTCTTCCATGAATCAGATTACCAATTGCCGTGAAGATCATGTAGAAAAACCTTGTTACCTCATTATGCTCTTCTAAGGGTGCTTTAGACAAGGGGAAACCACAGGGCAGGGCAGAAGAATGAACTAGTTAAACATTCCTAGCTGCAAGAGAAATTCCTGTTTTGTCACATGCAGGCTAAATAGTTTATTTTTATCTAGGGGTGACATTCCTTGTATATCCTTTCTACTCCCTGGAGATTTTCTTCTTGACTTGGTCCAAATCATCTTTTGAAAGAGTTTGAGCACCAGCTGCCGGCAGCTGGGAAGCACATTAATATGAGATCTGCCAGGTCGGCTTCATCTGTGAGAGAGTGGGACCTTGCAACCCAGCGGAGCTCACAGCTCAAAGGAAGGGCAGTTTGAGGTCCTCTAATCTCTCCTTGATCTTCAGCTCCTTCAGGAGAAGGAATGGCCTTGCCAGTTATTTCTCTGCACCTGCAGTTGAACATTTTTTGCCTTGAGGAGGCATCGTGGATCCCTAAGGAGTCTGTATGTGAGTGGGGGCGCGGGGGTACCTGACATACTTGGGAAAATGGACTGAGGCATTTCAGTGCAGCCTGATAAATAGAGACCTCAGTGATTGAGAACAGTTTAGGACTGATGGCCAAAGCCACTGCAATTTGCATAATTACCCCACTGGGGGCCACATGAGAGAGGGATAGGTGCATCCTGTCCACAATTCAAAAAACTAACCTTTGTTTTATTTGGTTGGAAGACGAAAAAGGAAAAACAAAATCCCTTCTTAAAATTTGGTTTTAAAACTTAGTTTACAACTTTCTTTGCATCCAAACTCGCTCTGTACCTGGTCTCAATTTGCCCCCAGTTTGCTGACTCCAGTTCCTGTGGCTCAGACTTTCATTCTCTCCCTGTGCAGCCTGTTCAGATTGGCCATTCTCTTGGATGATCTGCTTCTCCCCAAGTAGTTTTTGTCCAATCCCATCTCTCTTCCTCTCACCAAGACCTACCCCTGCTCCCAAGATACTGTCCCCTTCTCTGGGCCTAGCACCCAGCACAGGATGGCCTTCTTAATTTCTGCCTCTTAAAAAAAAAAAATGAAATGGTAACATTACTTCACAGGCTTGTCATGAAAAAAAAATGAAATCAAAGCATCTTGTAAACAGAAAAGCGTGAAACCCATGGGTATCGCTATGTTGATTGAACATGTCTATCTACTGTAGGATGACTATTGAGCAAAGTGTGATCAGATATGGGTCGGTGTCCAGAAGAGTACATAAGTTGAAGGTCAGGGCAAAAAAGACAGTCAGGAAAACTTGCAGTCCGGTTGTAAGGTCAGAACAAGCAATTGAACACATCAAACAAGCAGACAGTAGTTAGGTAAGGCAAGTAAAAATCCGCACAGAGTAAACAAAAGGAAACTGAGAGGTCATGAATGCAGAGCAGACATGAGGTATCGTCCATCTCCAAGAATACTTAGAATCCAGAGGCACTGCTCAGGCATAGCCAGTGAGCTTTAGTGTGTATGGATATGTATTCATTCCTTCTTTCCTTCTTTTCCTACCTTGTTCCATAATAGATTTATGGTGGCTTAGAATGGTTTAGAACAAATCTCCAAGTATAGGTAACCTAGGGTCTGCAGGAGGTATCCAATAAAAGGGGCATGTAAGTGGAGCCCACATCGATGGGGAAGTATAATGATCCTAACATAGAAACACATCCAGTACATGCATGTTCCTGTTAAATGGCTTTAAATGCATCTTTGTTTGGGACAGCTAGACTGAGCATATGCAAAAAGCTGGGCTTATCTGAAAATAAAGAGATAAGATATAAAATTTGCATGTTCTGTTATTTCTACCCAGTATAGAATGTTATGGGATGGGATGCTGGGAAACCAAAGGAGGGGTATGTCTAAAGAGTTGTCTGTAGGACCATGAAAATGTAGAGATACAGATTAGGAAAAATGGGAAAAGGTCCAAGAAGTGGATAAGGATGCTTGCAATTAAATCAGGGTATAAAACACTTGAAAATAAACATCAAGAATTAAAAATGGTAATGTTGGGAACTTGTCTCTCACTCCTCTTTTTCTTTTTTCTTTTTTTTAAGGATATCACTGGTTTTAAAGCATCCTATTTAGTCTCATTCAAATCATCAGTTCAGAAAGTCTTCTTTCTCACCAGTAAATATATAATCTTTACAACAAAGCTTCCAGTGTATAAGGACATCTAGTCCATTCTTCATAACACATGTTGGTAATAAAGATGTTCAATATTTAAATGATGGTGAAGTTATATTCTAGATCCTATTCATTTTCTATTTCTAATAGTCCCATTTTATTAATTGCAATGATTTTCAATTCTATCAGAAGCAAGTCAGCTGTTACTCTGATTACAGATGGATGTTTCAAACTATCATCTTGATTATAAATGAGTGAATTGCATGCTGCAGTTGGAGATACCTTGCATATTTCAAAGAAAGGAGTAGAAATATGTCCAATGGTAGGCAATGGAATGGCAGGATTTACACATAAAATCCAAGATTACCGTTACCCTATTTTATTATTTTTAGGTTATGCACAATCTTCAGTAGTTTTCTGTCAAGATAGGAAGTTTATATGATAGAGCCTGAAAAATATTTGCATGTGACATTTAACTACAAAGCATTGAAACTGATTATAAATATATATAAAGCAATGGTGCAGGAAGAACTCTGTTCTGTTTCCAAGTCATTATCTTGAAAGGCCATAAACTTACTCCTCTTGGGGGCACTGGAGCACCCTTTCCTAAGGAAAAAGCCAGCATTTCACCCACTGCTCCACAGGGCAGTCAGAGCCAGGAAGGGCTTCTGGGAAACAGGACAGGATGTGGGAAAAGCCAACTGATCCCTTCCCTTTAGTCTATTGTGACTTGGCCTCCACAGCTGAACTTCTTCTGGGACTTTCTGACTCACAGCTGGGAAAGAATTAGGGGAAAGCCCTTGCCAAGTTGAGCAGAACAGCTGCTTCCTGCTTAACTGTTTTTAGAGTGAAATTTCCAATTTCATTTTCATAACATGTTTGGATATAAGAAGGAATGAAATGCCACTGTGAAAACAGTTCTTTCATTGTAAAAAAAAAAAAGTTTAACCCTATTAGTCAAAGAAGATAGGGTCTTGGTTTCTTTACTGTATTTTAGTAGAGACTATTAACAGAAGAATAAGTATTTATTTTTCCTCAGAAGTTAACTATTAATTGAATTAAGTTAATAGCAGCTCTCTCAGTCCAGAAGAAAGTTATGCAGTAACAATGATCAATGTAACACTTCACACGTGCCAGGTACCATCCTAAATGCTTTTACATATTTAGTCATTTACTTCTTACAACTACTCTATGAGGTAAGTCCTATTATATCCATTTATAGATGAGGAAACTGAGGCACAGAGAGGCTAAGTAATGTGCCCAAGTTGTACAGCTACTATATGGCGAAGTCATGACTTAAACCTAGAAAGTAGGGTCCTGAGGCTGGGCTCTTAACTGCTACACCACACCCAGACAGTTACTAAAAAGCAGGAATAAAAGTTCTTGTCTTTTAATAGGCAGCAGTTCACTAATCTCTTTGCATATTCAAGTGAAGTTTTTACCTAATTCTCTAATGTGAAGTGTGGGGAGTTAAATACGCAGAGTTAATAACAAACTCCTTGACTTTTATGAATGGTTCTAAACAAAAAAGTTCCATGCGATGAATTCATGAAATAGTCTCTCTTGTGAAACCTCGCTGGTGGCCTATATTTACAGTATCTCTTTCCTACCATGAAAGGCAGCAATGGAACTGTGTGAAGGATTTTTTTTTTTAAGGAAAGGGAATTAGGTCAAGGGTGAGACATATCCCTAGAGTTGGCTGAGAAAGAACTGGGAGAAACCTGAGGAGAGCCTGGTGGGACTTAGTTTCCACAATTCTCGTATTTAACCATGAAATTAAAATTAGGTACAGGGCTAGATTTCATGGTCATAAGCAGGTTAGTCAGTGAGTTCTAAAGAGTTCACATACTCTTCTTTCCATTTCTTTTAAAATTTCACTGAAGGACCTGAGAATAATGATCACTGAATAAACTCACTCATTTATTAAATTATGAGTAGAAAGAGTTAAGAATTGACTTAAAAGAAAGGCAGGAAACATGGTAAGTGTGGGAAAACGCATTACAAAGTTTGCAAGCGAAACCAAATCTCCAAAAACATGATAATTTTGTTAAACTATTGTAAATAACTCAGGAGAGAAAGCAACATACTCTCATGTGAATTCTTTTTTATTTCCCCTCTTTATTCAGAGTTGCATCTAGTTGTTGCAACTTCCAGCAGCTAGTAGAAAAAAAATTAAAACAATAATTGAAAAAGTAGACTAAGATTTAAATGATCAAGATACAAATGCATAAAAGAGATGTTTACTATATAATGTTTACTAAACATTGTTGAAAAAGAGTGTTATTTTATTTTAAATTACTACATTTTCAATGCATGAAAGGAATGGGCCACAGTAAAAACAAAAGCAATATTTCTGTGACTGTTATTTTATCTCTAGTTCTGTATGCCTTTTCAGCATTTGACATCTGTTTTTAACCACTATACCCAATACAGAGTTGTTCAAAATAAAGTTTTTACCCAAACTAGACTATGGAGATGCAGATGGGAATGAGATAAACTCAAAGCAACACCAGTAACCAGTAAAAATGTTTTAATCGATATCAATATACCATATTTACAAACCACATGGTCATTATGTACATGCATTAGTAAATATTAGTACTTTACATATATATGTATTTGTAACAATCAAGTAAAAAGATACACTTCAAATTAGTTTTATTTATGAAAAATATATATAATGTGACACATGTACTTCAATTTGAGTGCTTGTTCAATACTCAGTGCTTAAAAATATTTGAAAAAAATCCTAAAATATATTCTGATGGAAGATATTAAAAGTGAAAGAGTTAAGGAAATAGTAAGTGTTAAATGTCATTTTAATAAGTAGGGGAGGTGAGCAGAAAGAAGATAAACATCTATAGGCAGCAAGCACAGCATAACCTAGATGAAGAATCAGAAATGGAATATGTGCTGTTTTTCCCAAGGTCAGTTTCACTCGAAAATGAACAGAACTGAGGTACTTTCAGGATAGGGTGAATGAACTGAACTTCTGATAACGAGGAGCTGGTGCAGAATTGACTTCCTGCTAGAGGTTCATGACCAAACACGCCCTGGACATTTACCATAGAGTAAGCTAAGTCAGTTCCTTATTTGGCTTCCGCTAAGAGGCAAGGGTGCTATATGCCACATAATGACCTCAAAAACCTGAGTAGTCATCTGTCCTTACTGAAGAGACATCGGGTGGCATCGGCTCTCTTTGCAAGCATAAGCTGGGCTGGAATTCTTGGATCTCGAGTGTTTTCTTTCTTCAAAGACTGAGGTCCATAGGGATTAGGGCAACTCACCCCAGTTCATATGGCCTCAAAATCTCTTCTAGTGTGCTTACCAGCCCATTCCGGTCTGGGATGGGGTGTGGTGCCCCAGGCCGGCCTGCTAGTTGAGGCAGGGGCAGCAGAAGCAGCAGAGGGTCCGACAGGGGTTCTTCTTCTTGTACCGCTCAGCCTTGCTCCAGTGCACCTTGGCCTGGCCGGTGTAGTTGGCAGTCTTCTGCACGTTGACACTGATGACATTCAGGGTGTCAGACTGCTGCTCTACCAGCCTGGCCGTCTGCAGGAAGAGCTCATGGAGGTCGCGGATGCGGCCCTCCAGCTGCAGCATCTCACGGTGCTGGCTCTCTATCTTGTTGAGGGCCCCCCGGGCGCACTTCACGTCGGCCAGCAGGTTCTCAGAGAACACATCCCACTTGCCCTGTTCCAACATGTCCTCGATCTGGTCGCCCGAGATGTCCTTGCCCATGATCTCCAGCTGACGCTGGATGCGGATCTTGCAGTTTTCGCGCTGCTTCATCTCAGCCTCGTTGTACTCTTGCATGGCAGCCTGGAAGGTGCAGGTGAGTGCTCTGTAATGCGCTTGCATGATGCGCACCACGACCGAGTTTGCGCCGTGCTCGGCCTCGGCCTCCTGGCTCAGCGTCTTCATCCTGCTCAGCTTGAGGTGGATGCTCTCGCCCCGGGCCTTGATGTCCTTGGCAATCGAGTTGGTGTCGCGCTTGATGCTGCTAAGGCGCCGCATGGACGTGAGGAAGCGGGCATTCTGCTTTCCCAGCCGCTTCACATCGTTACTCAGCTGCTGGTTTTCATCCTGAAGGTCCTGGATGTTCCTGTACAAGGATTCCAGGATGTGGTCCGTCTCAAACACGATGTCCTCCTGGGGCAAGTCAAATTCATCGTTCTTGTCTGTGAACTGCCGGTCATAGTTCTTGGTTAACTCCACCAGTTCTACTAGTCGGTCCTTCATTTTGCCTGCAGGTAGAGATACTGAGGTTAAATTCCTCTAGTGAAAGCCAAATATTTACACTGAGGGAATTGCAGGTTAAAATAAAGAAGCATTCTGTTCACTGCTCAGCGCTCCCAGCTCTTTACTCCTGGGTGTAGGTAATAAATGCACTAAAGGAGCTAAATGTTCTATGACATTTTGCTTATGAATAAAGGACTAATGAGACTGACAGCCATGAACACATCTATATTTTATAGCTAGTAGGTATTTGCAGTTCAATAGTGGAAGTTACTGGAACTCAAGCAGCAATTTCAAACTTTAGATTGCTTTGGGAACCTCTTTTTCTTGCTTTATGTGCTCCAACAATCACAAATCAAAACACACCAGAGAAAGGAAAAATAAGAAAAGAGTTGCAAAGATGATTGTTAAATACGGACAGTCAATTTACAAGGCTTTGGAGCCAACTCTAAGTGCTGACTCTTCTGTGTCTATTTAGCACTGGTAAGCATTCTCAGTCCTGTACCTCATAACATTTCTTTTTTAAAAAATGATATAAATCATGGTTTAATTTTTTTCTCTTAAAATGTAATAAAAAAAACAGTCTTACAGTAAAACAACAACAAAATGAACAAAGACAAAAATTTAATAAGGAAGTACTAACTTTGGAAGTCAAAATTTCCCTGCTCTTTTGCCAAATATCACCGATAAATACTTCAGCTTGAATGTCTGTTTGATACTCAGTGCTTAAAAATACTTGGGGGAAAAAAATCCCAAAATATGCTAGTGGAAGATATTAAAAGCTAAAGAGATAAAGAAATAGTTAAATGTTTTATGTGATTTTAATAAGTAGGTGAGGGAGCAGAAAGAATACATATTTATCTAGATGGAATCACATAACTAAAGCCAGATGAAGAATCAGAAGTGAAGAATGTTCAGTTTTTTTCCAAGGCTCCTAGTGGTGTCATTAACAAAACTGATTTTTAAAAAAGTTTTATATGGAAAACTTCAATCATACGCAAGCCTAGTAGCAATAACGTAACACACTCCCATTTATCCATCACACAGCAGCAACATTTGCCCATTTTTTAATGGCTTTTTGAAATAAGTTGGCAACTCAAGCAGAATTTCTATATTTTTATAAGGATGGCGCTAATCAATTCCCTACTTACCAAGGCAAAATAATGTTCTCTATGTCCATATTTTTTCTCCAGTGAAGTGAAAAACTTTCATTTTTAGTAGCTTGTATATATGCCAAAATAATTAACATTTTGCCCTTTTCATGCAAGATTCTGTGGCTAGAAAGATTCTTTCTACTACATAATTTGCAGAAAAGAAGGGGAAAGTAGTAGCACTTAATGGCTGCTCAATCTATCAGGAATCTTGATCTCAAATTAAAAGCTTCTCTCCAGTTAAAGTAATTCATTTTACAGCACCACTAATGGAATGCTGACAAGTTGGATCTAGTGATAAATGGAAAATGGTGAAATATTAACCATGGCCTCTCATCTGCAATGATCATTATCTACATAAGTTAAGCAAAGCTTTAATACAAGAAGTTATCCTGCTTAAAATACCATTTCTGCTTTCTGGTGATAAAAATCAATACCAGACCTTCTCAACGATGGGGAAGGTGACTCTCCTAGAAGTACAACTGAGAGGCAGGAAAAAGACCCAGTCTGGACGAAAACTATGCCTTGATATCCAAATATTTCCTCATTTTAAGCAAAGTTTAAAGACAAACTGCAAGTTGGGGGAGGGGGAGCAACCTGCAATATATGTAATGGGTTTACATAATATTTTAAAAACTCCTGCCCTGCCCCAAACAAAAAACAAATAAAAAACAGTTGCCCAAAGAGACAATGAAAAGGCAATTCATATAAGAAGAGAACATAAGGACAGCTAATACGTAGCACGTGCTGTCATTACCACTCTTCCTGTGATCCCCTCTTTTAATCTTCCTGGGACTCCGTGAAGTAGGTATTGTCCTTATCAGAGTTGGTAAATGAGTTTAAGGAGTTTGAGGAATGTACTCAAGGTCCCCAGTAAATGAACAGCTGGACTCAAGTAGCCCTGCTTAACTGCTCAACTATGTCCAGCAGGTGTATATGAGTGGGGCATGAGGGACTTCACTATCAAAACAAGGAAATGCAAATTAAGCCACTGAGGGTTTTTTTTTTTTTCCCCATCAAGCTGGCAGGAATTTTTTAAAAATAAAATTTTTTTTAAATTGATAAGAATTCTGGGAACTCTGAAAAAAATAATACTGGTAGGTGGGCAAATTGACAGAACCTTTTTGGAGGGCAGTTTAATAATGTGTATTGGAAGCTTTTCAAATGTGTCTTTGTTTTGCCCTAGGTACATTTATTCTAAGGTATATGCAGGGGTGTGAGAAGCTCATTGCTGTACATGTTTTCATCATCCACAATTTTCACAGAAATTCAAAAATAACTGAAAGGCACAAAAATGTACTAACTGCTACATAATCACAGTGTTTAGAAGGCTACCTAAATGATATGAGAAGTGTAAATACCATTTTAGGTAGAATTTGAGGGAACACAAGCATTCAGACCATAGGATTCTCTAATTGAGATTTTATACTTGGAGCAATTATTAGCATCTAATAACTTAGATCTGGATGAACACATGAAAATCTTCTCACTGTTACAACCATTACCTTCTTCCCCACAATACTTTTCCTTCATTTCAGAGTTTCCCCATCACTGCAATGTTTCAGTTATTAGAGCACTCAGTGGGCAGTCACTCATCACAACTGTCCAAAACTCCACAAAATTATTAACAATCACAGATAATTCTCTTCTAACAAAAATTCACTGTGGTTATGACTGACCCAAGACTGCTGAAATACCAAAGCACTGGTACTTGGAGGGAGAAGTTTTACCAGCAGGGTTGTAGAAGTGACAACTGAGGTCATACTAGTAGAAGGGCTTGTTGAGGGAAAACGTAAAGAGAGGAGAGCTCCAGGATCAAAGGTCAAATCATCCATACAAGTTTTTCCACTGTTGTCTGTATCAGCATTTACAGGCACACACAGTTGTTGCTGTGCCTGACTTGGCCTTGGCCCTGGAATGTGAAGCAAACTTTGGCTGGAAAATACAAAAGAGATTTACGCGGAAAGAAAAAAATGATGGGAAATAAATCACTTAGTCCAGTTTGATTAAACTTTATATTTCATAACTATTCCATGAAGTTTTTTTTTTAAAGAGAAATCAATAGAGTTTCCAGAATTGTGAATGACCTTTTCTTTTCCAACTCGAATTACTAATTAAGGAAATCCCAGATAAGTTTTACATTCCTCTTTCTGTTCTTCTTTCTCTTAAACAAAGTCCTTTGAGCCACTGACCCTAATCCTGTTGGCTAGTTACTCATTTTCAGGAAACAAATAATTATTTCGGCTGACATTTTTTACACGAGTGCAGAAAAATCTCAGTTACCCAGTGTCATCAGTGCATGAGGTTTTTCCGTTTAAGTGACTTTTACCTAACCAAAGACCTATCTCCCTCTGGGAAAAGTATTCACTCCTTTTTGTTGGAAATCCTCTTCTAAAATGCAGTGACATATTTCATTGCTTCTTAAAGAGAGGACATTGGACACACTTTACTGTGGACTCAGATTATCATTACTAACATCGCTGGACTGTGTGGTAATGTACTTTGTTTTAAAATATTTCTCTTTCCTTAGTTATCTCCTTACCTCAGTTATCTCCTCATACTGCTACTGACAGTCCTCTCATTCCCTGTACAGCTTGTATCAGACCAAGAAATTAGACAAAAGTCAAACATTTAATAATGGTAAGCTATATATGAGTCAGTAACCCTCAAGAGTCAAACTTACTAAATAAAGCAAGGAAGGAAAAACTAGTATTACTGACCAAGTGTCCAACTTGAGCCTCCCTTTGTACTGGACTGTTGATACATCGTCCATCAACAATCTTCACAATAACTATGAAAGCATCAAATTGTTAAACTGTTAGGTTATTTCCATGATGCAATGACCATTAACTCACATCCTACTTTCTTGACCTGACTTCCTACATGGCCCATTCTTTACCCTCAAACTTGTACATACTCTTTGTGGAACATTGAGAAAAACTTTACTACACATTCTTTGCATGTCCTCCAATCAAGAGGTATGGACTATTTCTCAATTCCTTGAATTTCAAGTGAGGCCATGAGACTGGAACTTGCTTTGTCTATCGGGACATTAGTAAATATGATGCAAGCAGAGGCTTGAAAAGCACTTGTGCAAAAGAGCTTGTTATTGGGAACCCCGACACAACCGTATTAAGAAGCCTGGGCTGGCCTGCAGGAGGATGAGACCCAGGAGTTTCAGCTGAACCAAGCCCTCAGCTAACCCATTACTGACTGCAGCTATATGAATGGTTCAAACAGCCAGTCGATAGGATTGTGAGAAATAATAAATCGTTGTTTAAGCCACTAAGATCTGTAACTGTTTCTTAAGCCACAAAAACTAACTGATCACACAGAAATTGATACCGAGAAGTAGCACGTTGCCATAACAGAAACCTAAAATGTTTGGCATCGGCTTTGGGACCAGACAGCAGGTGAAAGCAGTGAGGTAACTATTAGCAAAAACTGGGAAAATGGCATGCAAACTGTTAATGCAGGCTGGAGAAGTGACGAGAAACTGTACAGCAGGGAAGGAAAAAGGCAACCCACATTATGTTGAGGCAAAACAATTGGCAAAACTGATGGCAGAGGCAGCATGAAAGACTGAAAATGTACAGCGAGCTTTGTATCTAGCTGCAAAGATCTCCAGACAGCATATTGAAAGTTCACTGAGTGCTTCTAGTGCATTTAAGGTTCTAAAGAGAGAGATGAACTAAAATTGAATTACCTCGTTTATAAGCATTATTTAGAGAAAACAGAGAACCAGAACGAAACAGATGGGAAAATAAAATCTTTTACCTCTCCAGTCTCTTCAGCTGGAAGGAAAGATTCTTAGAGTAAGAAGTGGCCTCAGAGTGAGGACCTTGGTAAAATTTAAC